AGCTCGGGAGTCGGAGCTCATCAGGGCTTCTCGCGCCCTGCCTGTGTGAGGACGGCCTGGCCCGGGGCTGGGGGGGAACCGGGAGTTCCTGGCAGAGGCGCTTCTTGGACTCGGAACCATCTTCTCCTGGGCTTCCAGAACCGTCAGCAGGATCCGTGTGGTAGTGTGGCCTTCTCTCTCTGGAGCCAAGCCCACGATGTTCTAGAATGTTCTCTGGAATGCACCGTCCATGTTTGGCTGATGCTGAGACCTGCCCTCCCGCCTTCTCCCTCTGTTCTAGAGGAGAAGTGGGTTCTGGATGGCCTGTGGCCAGCGGCCAGAGTGGACCCCTTCTCTCCTGCACCGTGAGCCCCAACGACTCGTTTTCTCCTGTAGCCACGTGAGGGAAGAGGCAGGTCCTAGGGAGGGTGCGGGCGTCCTCCCGGGCTGGGGGGACTCCTGGCTGCGTCGGCCACCCCAGATGCCCCTTCCTCTGCCTTCCCTCTCCCATCTCTGACTCTGTCTCGTTTTGGCCATTCCCTGCTAAAGATTTTTATTATGAGTCTTCATTCTCATCTCTTTCCTGAGGGGCCAGCGGCCGTCCTGCTCTGGCCCGCATTCCCCTCTGACCCCGGACCACCACCCTCTCCGCACAGGCGTCTCTACCTGGTCCCCATCGGTGCCCTTGAGGGGTGGCGCCCGGCAGCGCAGGCACCCCACGACCTCGCGAGCCTTGGGCTGTTTTCAACGACGGAGGACACGACCCGTAGGTCTCAGTCTGTCGTTTGCTTGCCTTTGGGTTTAGGGTTTTGACCCTACAGGAACATTCTGTAGTTTTTCTTTCTCTTATGGCCGGACTTGGGGCTGCAGGGGAGGGAAGAAATGTCTTCTTCTGGCTTTCCTGTAGGGCTTTCTGGGTTTCGTGTCATATGCGCATTATCTGGCCCAGAGAGCGGCATTCGGGAGTTGAGGGTCTGCTGGTTATTTTGATGGGTTTTCTAGTTGTTACAATGGGATTTATCTGATTAAGTCTTCTTTTCCATATTAATGTACTATTTTATCTTCAGACTCTCGTATACTGAACGGAAACAGCTTGACCCTCTTCCTCGACACAGGTCAATCCAAGTCAGGAGCTGCGGCTTTCATTTGTGGGTTTGGCAAAAAATTTTCAAGCTCAATGCTATTCTGTCCTGGGGAGGACGTGAGGACAAGCGTTCTCGTCCTCGGTCCCACGTGACCGGTGTCCGTGCATGTGCTTTTCTTGGAGAACAGTTTGACAAAAGGCACCAACTTTGGGTTTTGTTTTTAATGCATGGACATTTTTTTTAAAAGATTTTATTTATTTATTTGACAGACAGAGATCACAAGCAGGCAGAGAGAGAGGAGGAAGCAGGCTCCCCGCCGAGCAGAGAGACCGATGCGGGGCTTGATCCCAGGACCCTGGGATCATGACCTGAGCCGAGGCAGCCGCCTCACTGACTGAGCCAACCCCCCTCCCCCGGTGCCCTGTACAACTGTTTCCTACGCACACCTGTTCGGCGACGCACTAACGGTAAGGGAAAGCACCTGTCAGGCAGGCGGTGACCACACTCAGGTTTCAGGTCGGTTTGACCTGGCCTTGAGCTCACTCACTCGCTCGCCCATTTCAGACCTTCCTTCCCACTCCTCGGCCCCTGCTTTAGGCCTTTTTAGTGTCCCGCGTCCCACCATCTCCCTGACGCCCTCCTACTCTGCTCTCAAGGGCACCCACCCCTGCACCTCCCCCAGTGAGGTCCCTGCTCCATTCTGCAGGGTCAGGAAGCGCTCTATTCTGGGAGCGAGGGGCTTGCACCCGCGCGAGAGCGGGATTGTGAATTCCCGTTTCCTCTGCTCTCTGTGACTGGACGTGCTGTGCCGCTGGGTTCTGGGGGTGGCAGGAGAGCTGCTGGGCGGCCGGAGGGTGCTGCTGGCCGGGGGCCTGGGGAGATGTCTGGTCCGCGGGAGAGCCTGTGCCCTCCCTGTTTGCCCTCCCTGCATCTAAGGACAGCATGCATTGCTTGCTTATAGTCAGATGGATCTTTCCAGGTGCTGGGTTATGGGGCATTTTTGTTTTCTTTACTCTAGTTTACTGTTCTTCATGCTACTGTTGTCAAGCCAGAGGGGGACTGACTGGGGAGGTGACTCGTTCAAAGAAATGCAAGCCAACCAGCCTGCGGGGGACAGCCAGTGCAGCTGGCCAGGGCTGGGGAGGCCAGAGGCCCTCTGTCGTCTGTGTCCTGGTGCGTCATGTCTCTCCCCATGGAAGTGTGCGGTCCTGTGCCCCCACTCCCAGCAGAGCACACCCCCTTCCTGAACCGTTGCTGGACATCGTCAGGGATGGACTTCCTCGGGCCGGGCTTGGGCCAGCATCCTCCCCTGGACCCGTCAACCCTGGCCAGAGGCCAGGCGTCTCTGAGTACCTGGTCAGTCTTCTGGGGTCCCCTGGCGGGAAAAGAAGGGACAATGCTGGGAAGATGTTCCTTCATGTGCACGACTTACCTGTTCAGTTTGTCAAGTGCCTCTGATGTGCACGGCTCTGGGCTTTGTGCCCCGAACACAGTAAACCAGCAAGCTCTCGGTGACCAGAGAACATGGATGCTAGCGAGGGGGACGGTGTAGGAAACAGGGCTGGCTAGACACAGCTCTGGCTGACCCCACTCTCCCTGTTGACAGAAGGAAGGGGGCTCTTCCTGCTGCATGCGGGGGAGTCTCATCAGACCGGCCTCGGGTGTCTCGACTGTGAGGGGACCCATGGCTGAGAATGCCCAGCTGTGGTGGGGGTGGGAGGCGGCCACTGCTCTGAGTTGGCGAAGGGAGTAGCTGCCTGTTAGGCCGAGATCTCTGGGTCCAGCCTGGAGGTCAAGGCATCCCCGGGAAGACTATTTTGTGGGGTGCTCACGAGAGAAACACAAAGCCGGACGCCTGGGTGGCTCAGTCGGTGAGGCGTCTGCCTTCGGCACAGATCGTGGCCTCAGGGCCCTGGGATCAAGCCCCGCATCGGGCTCCCTGCTCCACGGGGAGCCTGCTTCTCCCTCTCACTCCCCCTCCGTGCTTTCTCTCTCAAATAAAATCTTAAAAAACCCAAACACCACAAAAACACAAAGCCCAGGCCCCCGTCAGGTGCCTGACCCCACACTGCGTAGGAAGCTTGCTGCCTTGGGCTGTCGTCGTTCTGAGCGAACCCGCTCCTCTCCGTGCCCACCCAGGACAGTCTCAGGCCAACCCCATGCTCGCGCCTGCTCCCCGCTGCACCTGCGGCCCCAGGGTGTCAGGCCGGGGTGAGGTGGGTCAGTGGAATCAAGGACCAAACTTTGCCCCTGAGGAGGGCGGCTGCCGCCACCAGAAAGCTGAGCCCTCGCCCCAGAGGGGCTTACAGAGGAGAGAGAAAAGTCAGGTTGGTCAGGAGCCGGAGCAGCACGGAGCAGAGCCGGGTGGGAAAGCGGGAGCGGCGCATGGGTCCCCAGAGCTGCCCTGGCCTCTGACCTGGGTCCCGTCTGTCCAGCCGTCACAGAAGCCCACCACACACCTGGCCTGCAGAGCCGCTTCTGGTAACACACGGAGGCCAAGTGACCCGGCGACTCAGCAACCCTTGTCAGCGCTGCTGTCCCCGAAGGCTGCTCTAGAACCCGAGTGGCCGGGCGAGCACAGGGACCTTGGAGGGTGCATTCACGTCCGGTAAATCTCTGCATCTGTTGCAGCCCTTGCCCAGGCCCTGACATGGGGGCCACGAAACAGGCACCAGCCCCAACCAGAGCCAGGAGACCTGCCAGCGCGCACGGAGGTGAGCGGGACACAACAGGTCCGCTCTGCCGGGCCAGAATGGAGAGCGTGGAAGGACTGGCTTCAAGGACTTGTGGGAAATGGACAAGCCGCACGGACCCTCTGGCCTTTGGGGTCCTTGCTTGTGGCCCGGGCGCGAGGATGAGGGACCTCACAGGCCGAGAAAGGACACCCCAAAAGGACAGGTTTGGTGCAGTGTAACGGGAACACAGGTGCGCACAGTCGGTGAAACAAATCGCTCCGTCTCCCGCTTCACCGCCCGCCTGCTCGGGCGGCTGCGGACCTGACCGGGGCCCTGTTTGGCACCTTTGGGACGGCAGTGCCCAGCTTCCCAGATTCGTGTGAGGACACGGCCGACGGGGGACAGAAGGTGCAGAGCTCAGCGCCTCCCACGGCATCCGTGAGTCCGGAGAGCTTCTTAAACACACAAGATTCCTGGCATCCCCCTAACTCAGGGCTCTTTGGGGTTGGAGCTTAGGAATTAGGATTTTAAGCAAGTACCTCAGATGATCGATTAGAGTCCTCTAAGGAGCCTTTAAGATGAAAACGTCAGTTCAAGGGCGCTTGGGGCGGGAAGCCGGCGTTCCCAGGCGCGGCCACAAGGCGGCAGCAGGGAGGCCAGAAGCAGGCGTGGGCTCAAGGGGCTGCGGGTGGGCGCACCTGGGATTCAGGTTGCGGGGGGGCGGCAGGCCCTGGTGCCGCAGGGTCACCCTGCCAGGTGGCCCGTTCCTGCCAAGTGCTCCCCTGCGGGCGCCTGTCTTACTACCAGGTCTTTGTGGGGACTTTGCCAGCACTGCTGTGACTCTGGCTGGGTGGGGGGTGGGGGGTGGAAACGTGTATCACGTGAGTGAGAGGCCGCTCGGGAGGTCACCTGCACTGGGCAGCTTCTCCAGGGACACCGGCGCTTGTTCAGAGCAGGGCTACCCATCCCCCACTGCCAAGCTTGCGGTTCCAGGTGCTCTTCGAGGACCTGCACCTGCCCCCGGCTTGCTCCCCAGCTTAAAAGGGTCCGGTCTGCTGCCAAACAGCAGGCAAAGGATGCCAGGACAGGGCAGCTGCCACTGGGAGCGGCCAAGAGGTCTCTGGCTGCGGGAAGAGGATTAGGTGACAGTCCCCTAACCCAGCCCGGAACTAACACCCCCGCCCGCCCTCCCTCCCACCACACCACAGCCTGCCCCCCTGAAGCCTGCCCGAGCTCAGAATAACCCCGAGGACCAGACGGGATGGCAGGGGCTCTGCTGGGCGTGCTGCTCCTCCTGCAGCTCCTGGGTACAGCCGGGGTTCCGTCCCGCGCACAGGGGTAGGGATGCCCAGGGACGGGCCAAGACAAGAGACGGAGAAGGGGGCTCGGTGGCGGGCTCAGGAGGCGGGCCAAGGACACAGCTTCAGGGGCACACTCACAGCAGAGCCCCGTGCAGACCCGGGGGCAGCAGAGAGCCCCCCAGCCCCTGGTCTGCAGCGAGCCCACGGCTGGACCCCTCCCCAGGTGCCTGTGAGGCGGAGAACGAGGAGCTGCGTCTTTACCACCATCTCTTCGACAACTACGACCCCGAGTGCCGGCCCGTGAAGGAGCCTGAAGAGACGGTCACCATCACCCTCAAGGTCACCCTGACCAACCTCATCTCCCTTGTAAGACACCCCACCCCCACCCTGGAGCCTGGAATTCCACTCCTGGCTCTGGACTCCCACTTCAACCGTCCTGACCCGCTCGTTTCTGCAGAACGAGAAAGAGGAGACCCTGACCACCAGCGTCTGGATCGGAATCGTGAGTCAGCTCTGGGGGGCAGCAGCAGGTCTCGACCCCCTCCCCCAAACTCCTGGCGGGCACAAGGTGGGAAATACAGGGCACCTGTGCGACCATCCTCACTCCTTAGGACTGGCAGGATTACCGACTCAACTACAGCAAGGATGATTTTGGGGGCGTGGAGACCCTGCGGGTCCCTTCAGAACTCGTCTGGCTCCCAGAGATTGTGCTGGAAAACAAGTGAGCATCGTTCCGTTCGGTGGAAGCCCGGGCCTGGGGGCCGGGCTGGGCTTGCTGGGAGGGCAGGGGGGTGGCAGCCTGGCCGACGCCGGCTCTCTCGGGGTCCCCAGCATTGACGGCCAGTTCGGCGTGGCCTACGACGCCAACGTGCTGATCTACGAGGGCGGCTACGTGAGCTGGCTGCCCCCCGCCATCTACCGCAGCACCTGCGCCGTGGAGGTCACCTACTTCCCCTTCGACTGGCAGAACTGCTCGCTCATCTTCCGGTGGGGCGAGCTGCTCAGAGGCGGGGGCGGGGGGTGTGATGATGGGACGGGGCGGGGGCGGGGGGCGGCACGGACGCGCTGGCCCTGGCTCCGCAGCTCGCAGACCTACAATGCAGAAGAGGTGAACTTCGTCTTCGCAGTGGATGACGAGGGCGAGACCATCAGCAAGATCGACATCGACACCGAGGCCTACACGGGTGAGGCCTCCTCCTGCTCCGAAAACCCGCCCCTAGACGCGGTCTGCGGTGGGGACCCGCCGAGGGCGGTGGCCCCAGGCCATGGAGGCCGGGCAGCTGATCTTAACCTTGCCCCTCCACCGAAAGCACTGTCCATGGTGGCGCGGGACCGCCCCCTTCCGCCGGAACCGCCTTCGCCCCGACGGCCCAGATCACCCGAGACCCCACCAGTCGGGGCGGGCCGGCCACCTCCCCAACGCCCGCAGCCCCAGGTGTTACGGCCAGGTGTGCGGCCCGCGCCGGCTGACCGCGCCCCCGCCCCCACCGCAGAGAACGGCGAGTGGGCCATCGACTTCTGCCCCGGGCTGATCCGCCGCCCCAACGGCGCCTCCGCGGGCGGCCCGGGTGTGGTCGACGTCATCTACACGCTCATCATCCGCCGGAAGCCGCTCTTCTACGTCATCAACATCATCGTGCCCTGCGTGCTCATATCGGGCCTGGTGCTGCTCGCCTACTTCCTGCCGGCGCAGGGTAAGGGGCGGCGGGGGCCCGACCCCGGGCGCGCGGCTGGCGGCGGGGCCTGCCTCACCGGGCGCTCCCTCCAGCCGGCGGCCAGAAGTGCACGGTGTCCATCAACGTCCTGCTGGCCCAGACCGTCTTCCTGTTCCTGATCGCGCAGAAGATCCCCGAGACGTCGCTGAGCGTCCCGATGCTGGGCAGGTGACGGCGCGGCGCGGGACCCACGTGTGCGGGCGGGGCCGCGGGGCGGGGCCAGGCGAGCCTGGGGCGGGGCTACGGCCGCGAGACACCCGGAGCCGCTCGGCCGTCCGGGCCCGCCTGGGCTTTATTCGAGCGTGGGGCGGGGCTGGGACGGCGGCGGGTTCTCAGGTCCCCCGTCCTCCGCGCTGCTGCTGGACGCCACCTTGAGGTCCCCTGAGTATCTCTGCCGGGGGCGGGCCGGCTCAGTGCCCCCCGCCAGCTCCGCCGCCCCCGGCCCCCGGCTCCTCCTCCCCCCTCCGGGTCCTGAACTCACCCGTCCCCCGGCCGCCCCGAGGCCCAGCGGGCGCCCCCACGGCGGCAGGAGGGAGGCGGAGCCCTGCAGGCCCTGCCCGCACAGGCACAGCCACGCCCCCTGCAGCGCCAGGCGTGCCGCCGCGCCCGCCGCAGCCCCCGCTCGCCGAGCCCCCTGCCCCGCCGCCTGGGCTACCCGGGCCAGTGCTCCGCCCGGGTCCCCGGCGCCTGGGGCCGGGCCCGGGCTCGGGCTGCCGGCGTCGCCGTCCAGTCGCCGCACCTCCTGCTGCAGCCACAGGGCTGAGATCTGCGGTAGGGGTGCGGGAGTTGGCGGGGGCGCAGGGGCCTCTGCCGCCGCTTCCCGCCCCTTCCCCGCCGCTTCCACGCCGCCTCCCCGCCCCTCGGCAGCCCCCGCGCCCCACCTCGAACAAGGTGGCGCCGAAGCTCACGACGCTGGCCGCGGCCTCTCTCAGCACCAGCCCCAGGGTGGGCTTCGGGGCGGGCGGCCCCTGCGGCTCCCGCAGCTGGAGGGACTCGAGCTCCCGGAAACTCTGCTCCAGATACTCGTGGGCTGCGGCCACGGAGAGTTCCAGGGAGGACAGGAGCGGGGGCTGCAGGGCCACCTGGGCAAGGAGCGGGGGCGGCGGCGCCGGCGGGTCACCGGGCGGAGCTCCCGGGGGCGCCCGCCCCGGGTGGGGCCGCCGGCGGAGCCTCACCTCCGTGGAGCTATGGAAGTGGTAGACCCACAGCAGGGTTTCCAGCGAGCTGGGGGTCACCTCCATGGCCGCCGGCGGAAAGGGGGGCATCGGGGCCGCGCGCGCGCCGTCTGGGCCCGCCGGGGAGGAGCAGCCCGCGGGCCGGGAGGGTCGTTTGTGAGGTCAAGCGCGGCGGGCTCCGCAGGTACCTCATCTTCGTCATGGTGGTTGCCACGGTCATCGTCATGAACTGCGTCATCGTACTCAACGTGTCCCTGCGGACGCCCACTACGCACACCATGTCCCCTCGGCTGCGCCACGTAAGCGCCGGGTGGGCGGGGGCGAGGCCCGGGTGGGCGGGGCCGGCGGCCCGGTGGGCGGGACCTCGAGCTCAACCCGCCCCTCCGCCAGGTCCTGCTGGAGCTGCTACCCCGCCTCCTGGGTTCGGGCGCACCCCCCGAGGCTCCCCCGGCCACCTCACAGCCGAGGCGGGCTTCGTCCGTGGGCCTGCTGCTCCGGGCCGAGGAGCTGATACTGAAAAAGCCGCGGAGCGAGCTCGTGTTTGAGGGGCAGAGGCACCGGCACGGGGTCTGGACCGGTGAGCGGAGGGGAGCGCGCTGGCGGGCGCGTGTGGCGGGGTGGGCTCCCCGCTGACCCTCCCCTCCCCTCCCTCCCGGACGCCCCACCAGCTGCCCTCTGCCAGAGCCTGGGCGCCGCCGCCCCCGAGGTCCGCTGCTGCGTGGACGCCGTGAACTTCGTGGCCGAGAGCACGCGGGACCAGGAGGCCTCCGGCGAGGTGGGACAGGCCCCGGGGTGGGGGTGGGGGGTGGTGGCCTGGAGGCCCCCAGTCCCTGGCGCCGCGGGAGACGCAGCTCGTGTCCGCCCCTCCCCAGGAGGTGTCCGACTGGGTGCGCATGGGGAAGGCCCTGGACAACGTCTGCTTCTGGGCCGCCCTGGTGCTCTTCGGCGTGGGGTCCAGCCTCATCTTCCTCGGGGGCTACTTGAACCGAGTGCCCGATCTGCCCTACCCGCCGTGCATGTAGACGGCGACCCCCGCAGTGGCTTCTGGAGGAAACTGATTTTGAAAGACCCGCTGCGGGCTCCTGCTGCGGTGCGGTCCTGTGCTCGCTGCCGCAATAAATCGGCGCTGTGCCAACTTCCCCGGCTGTGCGCGGGCTCGTGTGGCTGAGTGCGCGCACCTGTGGAGGTCTGCCCCGCCGGGGTCGGGGGCAGAGCACGGTCCTCCGGAAACCACTCGCCACTCCTGCATCCAGCCTTGTCGACCCCCCAGTGTTTCTCAGAGCCTAGGCCCTCGTGACCCTCTTTCCAGCCCTGGGAGCTGCTGCCTTTATCGGCAGAAAACGGCAGGACGGCCCTGGAGGCGGCTGGAACCTGGAAGCCGTGTGCCACCTCCGGGGAGCGCGCAGGGCTCACATGCCCCAAAGGCCATAGGGCTAAGGCCCCCTGGGCCGCCCCCTCGTCCCAGGCCTGCTGGCTTAGCCGGGCTGGTTTCCGGGACTGGGAGAGAAGACAGGGGCCCTGGATGGTAGGAGCTGGTTGAATTGTCTTTATTAACAAACGGAATATCCAAGGCCACTACATTGAGGGGGGACGGGGCAGGGCTACTTGCTGCTCACACTATATACAGAGGCAAGCAAGGGGGTGCAGGGGGGAGCGAGAGCTCCCCACTCCCTCCCTCCACCAGGGAAGGACAGAGGCTAGAAAGAAAAGGGGTTGGAAAGGGGGAAATGTTTTGGCTGGCGGGGTCCCCCCTCCATTCCCTGGGGTTTGGGGGGAGGGGAATCATTAAAGTGCTTTCAGAAAATGAGGAAATGGTCCCTGCCCCTGGAGTGGCGGGCGACCCCCCTGAAACCTAGGGCCCAGTGACCCCCCCCAGGGTCTGGTACATTCAAGGGGGGAGCCGGCTCCCCTGACGTGCAAATGAAGGGGCCCAGGGCCCTGCCCGGTCAGCAGCAGTGGGGTACGGGTGCCCGCCCGGAGCACTCTCCTCGGAAGTGGAGAAAAGGGGGGTGGGGCTCGGCCCTCTAGATTCCTGGTAAGGGGAAGCCGTGCCTCTCCCTGGAATTGGGACAGGCACAGTTTTGGGGAGAGAATGAACTGGGGGGGGGGGGAAACAGGATGGTCACGTGATCACAAAAGCATCAGGGGTCAGAGGTCACGTTCCCAGCAGGCTCCAGTGAATCAAACCAGTCAAAAGCAAAAGCCCAGGGAGGGGAAAGGAGGGCGGCCTGGGGGGTCCGGCTGCGGGGGCGGCTGTCCCGTCACCAGTTCATGATGCAGTTCCGGTTCAGCGTCATGAAGTAAACCTGGCTGCTGCCCCCAGAGCGGACGGAGGCGAAGAACACCTGCAGGGTTGGAGAGGTTAGGAGGGATGGGGGCCAGGGGGTGGTCGGGACTAACTGTGAGCCGCAGCGAGAGGGGGAGAGCTGGAAACTGCAGAATTTAGTCTTAGCCCCCCCCCCCCCCCCCCCCCCCCCCC